AGAAACATTTAAACTGGGAACCTTTATTTATACATATTGTAGCATGTTCAAGAAATGTTTTGGTGTGTTTTAGGTTATGTATTTTTCCTGCATTTACTGCACGAGGTTTATTTTGCTATGAACTCTGATGGGGCACCACCCTGCGGGTGTATGTGTGTGTGTAGAAAGGGAGATGTGAGCTGGAGGAGAGAACGAGTTGTTAGTGTACGGCGTGGCTGTGGCCGACAACAGCTGTAAAATAAAGCACCATTGCCTCTGAATAGTGGTGAGTTCTTTAATGTTTTCAACTGAATGTGTCACTCCACTAATCGCATTCGTTTTGTGTGTATGTATTTTTTCAAAAGCTATAGATATGTTTTTGTAAATGGATGTTTGGACCATGCAGCCAGTGTCCATATAAATTAATCATGATTCTACTTGAACGTGTGGTTCTTGTGCATTAGTCATGCACTGGGTACTGAAGAGAAAAGCAGATACAACATGAAAAATTGCTGTAAACTCCTCAGTGCAAACCCAAGTAGGTCACTAATTCCTTTCCACTCGACTCATACTGCATCCATGAGCTCTTATAGACTTTAGGCTTCCATTTAAAATCTACTGACAAATGCCATAGGAATGAGTGGTGGGCTTGTTGAGAACAACAGTGTGAGAATTGAAGCATTTTGTGTAATTACACACCAAATACAGATTCAGATATGTTAGTGATTGCTTATATTAGAGCCTAATTAATACAGATTTGCATTGATGATTTTAATATATATATAAAAAACAAAACAAAAAAAACACATACACACACAAAACTGACCGTTTTTATATAATGATTCACTAAAAATAGAACTGGAATGCTTCCAGCTACTATTAAGAATTTTTAGGAGTTTCTTTTTAGTAATATTCCAGACTGTTAAGACTGTGGTTGGTCATTTGACTTCTGACTTTAGCCGCTTGCTCAGAGAAGCTATTTTTGAAATAGGAAGTAAGCAACCCTGTCATATAAGTACTCCATTTACTCATTAATCTCTACGTTTTGTTGATGTTATTAACCTTTAACCTATTAACCCTGTCATGTTTTGAGTTGACATTGTGAATAGAAAACCCAGCTGTAGGTCTCTGTAATTCCTTTTCAGCATTTACATTTAAAAATGCAAGGGGGCATCTGTGGTATGCAGGCTTATTAGGGACTTTCCCCCTATAAGACCACACGCTGACATTGTCACTGTCTATATATAACCATGTTAGGTGTTATAACCATGTGTTACACTTTTTAAGTTAAACTTTGCTATCTTTCCCATTAAGCTGCATCTTTTCTGCATGCTAGTGTCCTAGGGCACAGGTTCCCAACCTTGATCCTGGAGTAGCCGTGTCCAGCACATTTTAATGTTTCCCTGCTCTAATACATTCATTAAACTCAGCAAGTTAATGAGCAGGGCCCAGTTTCCTGAACGCATCTTAGTATTAAAGGTGAATTCCACCATTTTTTCAAAGTTTCTGCGTAATTTAATTTGAGATGTAAACAATCATTCTGAATGATTTGATGTGAAATGCTCTATAGTCCATAAACATTTTATGTAATAACTTTCTGCGAGGGAGCTTTTAGAGGCATTAAACTCTTCAAACGCCTGGTTCCTTTCGCCACCACTGTGAACAATTCTGACTTAGTCAAACCACTCTGAATGATATTTACACCTAACACATTTAATTATTTGAGAAATTGGTGGAATTCCCTATTTAGATCATCTTAACTGGTAGAGAGCATGTTCAGTGTGATGCTTTTGGGAAACACGGCCCTGATTACTCTGATCAGATGGGTTAGATCATTGAAAGCATAATAAAACAACAAAGAAACAAAAGACAAAACAGGAAGCAAGAAGAGACAGAAAAGACAGTGCTTGTTGCACTAAAGAAGACATCTGCATAAACTACCCATATATAGACACCTTCAAGTGCTGAAGAGTGGAGGGAGGTTTTACGTTTTAAAATCTTAACGCTGAGCGGTAGGCAGGTTTGTTCTTTGTGTATATATAACTCCAGAAATGTCCAGGAATTTTGAATTTAATAACAAGAAAGGCAGTTTGAACATTTGTTTTGCTGTAAGCTTAAAGAGGAATTCCAATACCATCAAAATGTATGCATACTTAAATCATTAAGATGTAAAAAAAAAAGTCATTCAGAGTGTTTTGATGTGAAATGGTGCATCATAGAAAAACTTCAAAAATTGTTCACAGCAGTGGTGAACCAGATGTCTCTAAACGCTACTTTACAGAAAGTTATTACACAACATGGTTAGGAATAACTCTGTAAAGCCTGAGACATTTTTATTCAATGACAGAAAATAGTTTTATTGGGTGGGAGGGCTATAAGCCCCTGCACTATATATATATATATATATATATATATATATATATATATATATATATATATATATATATATATATATATATGCCCCCTTTTTATTTTATTTTATTTTTTATTAATTATATAAATTAATGTAAGGTTTGTCCTAAAACATTATATATCATTTCAGCATTACGTATAAAATAAAAACTGGTCGTGTTAGATAGGAAATACGGTTGTATTTGTGTTGTACACATAGCGACCACTGGTTCCTTTCACCACCACTGCAAAGAAATCTGAGTTAACGTTGCTAAGTTTTCTTTGTAATGAACCACTTCACATCAAACCACTCTAAATTACTTTGGAATTTGGAAAATCTGGTGAATTCCTCCTTTAAAAAAGCGAAATCTCGGTGTGTCCCTCTGCGCCTCCAGTCAAGCCCGTCTGCGCGGGCGGAGCAGACATTGGTGTCTCGTGCGCGCCGCTCGGCCAATCAGAGCGCAGCGAGGGACCGTTACAGTTCAAAATCTGAAGCGGCTGTTGAGCTGCTGGGTGTCAGAAAAAGCGCTACGGAGCACAGAGAGTTTATTAGAGTTTCCACATAAAGGCCGTGGCCGAACAGTTAGCTAGCGCTTCCACAACGTGATTCTGTATTGTCAGAATTTGGGAAAATGTCGAAGAAACAAATTTACTACTCCGATAAATACACCGACGATGAGTATGAGTACAGGTAGGTCACTGTCGGTGAACGAGGCTAACGGCACCCAGTACTGAAGTCGAATTGTTAACTTTCAGACAGACAAGCCGAGCAGGCGTCTGCGCGAAATGCGTGTTTTCGTATGCGAGCTAAATTTGAGCACTAATGTTGGTAAATAAGCTTGTATTCTGAAAATCAGTACTCTAAATTAGACAGCTAGGTTAGCTAGCTAACGACATTAGTTTGACACCGTTAATGTAGTCAGAATCTAGGAAGAGCTGTGACCTACTTAGCGCTGGGTGACGTTGACGTGTTTAGTTCCTTAGCAGTTGTTTGTCCGCTTTGCCAGAAATTTGGAATAATGTAGCCAGCTGGCTACAGTTTGAGTGTCCTCCAGGAAATGCTGAGTTAAAGGGGAATTCCACCGTTTTTTTTTCTAAATGTCTATGTAATGTAATCGTAAAGATGTAAACAATGGGCCTTTATTCGCCAGCCATTCTTGAGAAGAAATTCCTTCTTAAAACTCGTGCAGTTTTCATGAAGGTCCTGGCTGTGCTTTAAGTTTACCTCATACCACTCAGTGCCAGCTGTCATGTAAATACAACAAATCTGACTCATATGCCATGTAAATATGCAAATAGATATACTTTTATCTTATTTCTCTTGTACTGTAACTTATGTCTAGATTTATTTCTATTTTTCTGCATAGTATATGTAAGTTTATGTGCAGTTGTGCATGCGTTAATGTTATTATATGTCTTGCTACTGAAACATTGCAATTTTCCCTTGGGATCTATCTATCTATCTACATATCTACATTCACCAGTGTTTTCTTATTTTAGGAGGTGTTTTTAGGTTAAGAGCACAGTTAGTTGTATGAACAATTCTGCCGTTTAAGAACATGTCATGAATCTGATGTAGACTTTTTCCTTAGGACGATATCGGTGATTGAGCCCCTGTGCTAAAAACATCTGAATTGATGTTTTTCTACAGTGAGCAATTTCACATCAGACAACTCTGAATGGCTCTGTTAACATTTCAGTGACTGAATTTTTGCAAATTTTGCAAAATAGGAAGAATTCCTGTTGATCCTTTAAACTTAATACACAGACATGTCATGCTGCCGAAACATCTTTCCAAACTGGTGCCTTCTTCCCATTTAATGTCCGAGGAGGAATGGAGAGGGCTAGGAGTGCAGCAGAGCCAGGGCTGGGTCCATTACATGATCCATAAGCCAGGTAAATTATATTTTAAAGTTTAGGTCATGCCTTCAATGTGCATTGAAATGTTTTCACAAATCTAATTCCTCTGCTTTCAGAACCCCACATACTGCTTTTTCGAAGACCTCTTCCCAAGGAATGAGAGAACTGGAAGATGACCATCAAAGATGAAGTGATGTGGTCAGCATTAGGCCATGTGTGCATTTCTTTCCATGTTTTGGGTTGTGTATATAAGGCTCCTTATTTACAGATCTATGGTATTGAAATGTTACGAATTGTTCCCCCCCTCTCCCCTTAATTCTGGAGGTGTAATAGTGAAGGCCCAAATGGAGCTTTAAGGGGAAAGGCCTGTCTCCTGTGTACAGAAGTGTCTGTTTAGATCTACACTGAGGTCATGTAATGAAAAGCTGGGTGGATTGACATGTTATTTCCAGGTCTTACTGGCATAAATATGTGACATAGTTTGAAAGGTGTTGATCCTCTGGTGCTTTGCATTGGTAAACCAGAGCCAGAGTGATTCATCAAAGACATGTTAGGTCTAAAATTTTACTTGGTTGTTGGCTGCTATGAATATGTAATAACATCCCTTGTACAAATGTAGACCAGCGGATTAGTTCATTAATTTGTTATCGACATCAATAAATATCTTGTTGAGATAGATCTTAATGCGTTTATTTTTATGAATGTTTGTTTATATTTTGGTTCATAGTATTCTAATACTTTTACACATCCTTTTCCAGACAAAGTCAATTTTATATGTCTACTACTAAAGGGGTAACAAACTCAGAGTGTCTGAAACCTAAAGTGTAAGCAGGTGCTCGACGCTTATGCACAGTCACGTTCTCTGGGTTATGACTTCCAGGTCCAGGTTTCAACAGAGCCTCACTGGGGCTGCTGTCATGTTTACCTCGCATTGAGAACGCTGGTTGTCGGGGGAGGTAAACGTTGGGGTCTGTGCGGTTGTATCTGCCAGGGCCTGGAGTCTTTGACAGGTCTTCTGCATGACAACCAGACTCGTATCTCCCAGAGATTGTATAGCTGGCACTGGCATGTTTCGTAAGCACGTGGGAACCCATAAGAGCTGGAAGGGTGTACTTGTTTGGAGCTGGCACTGTGTCCGCAGAGCGATAGGGTGTGCGGTAGCCCATGGTGTAGGATGGTGGTCTCCGGTGGGTGCTGCATAAAGGAGCTATTTCTGGGCTGTATGCACCTGGTCCTGGCGTCTTGAATATTCTCTCTACAAATTAGAAGCAGGTTTTGTAAGAGTGACCAAAGCAGTGGTACTCAAAAAATCAGTTATTCAGCTGATGTCATGTTGCTGTTTCAGTTCCACTCAATTAAAGGCTTTGAGCTTATCCTGTCAATACCAAGTGATGTTGCCTTATGGTTGTGACATTTAGTGGTCTTGAACAGTTCACAAGTAAGTCAACGTCCTATTTAACAACAGCTCAAAAACTACTTAATCGACTTACTTGGACCTGGCATTCTGCCAAGTATGGAGTAGGCAGGACTGCCATCTTTACCAAATCTAGTGACCTTTGCATCAATGTGATACTGAGGCCCTGGACTGGAATCCACATAATACACTATGGAACAAATTAAAGACCATGTTTATTACAGTTTAAGCAAACACCAACAACAGGAAAAAATGAAAGTTAAATATTCTCAAAGAAGCCATGAAAATCATTTCAAATTGCGAAATAGTAATTTGTGATGAAATAAGCAGGTTGTTTTCACTTATTACAGATTTTATTTAAATTAATGGTTTTCATTGCCTGTCCTTGTATTTTCCATGCTGTAAGTCCCATCTTATTATTGGCTTAATAATGACCCGATAGCGAGTTGAATCAGGTAGCACAGAAATGTGCAGTTCATGGCTCTTCGTCTCCCCCTAGTGCTTCTAATCTGGTTGTACAACATTTGATTTAGAGCAATGGGCTCTACACAGTAGATAGTACAGTGTCTCATTATGCTGGAGAGGCAAGTGATTAAATTACATTTTTTTTAACTGCTACAATATGTAAACACTTAAATTCACAAGGTCTGCCATTACTCACTTTTATCGCTCATCCTTCCATGGAAGGAGTATGCTGGACTTGTTGCCTTGGTGAAGTCATGGCCTATAAAGCCAATGGTTGATGGCAGGGCGTAGCGACCTGGACCGGGCCCTTTTGACAAAATGTGAATGGTATTTGATAAAATTAACAAGCAAGCTTGCCCAGTGTAATTTTATAGTTTTGTATAGTCTCATCACATTGTTAACTTTGTGTCATGTAATTATGCTGCTTGCCTTTCATTAACTGTTTCTTTTTTTACCTTAAAACTCACATGAAGTTCAGCTTCATGAACAGCATTGCACAACATAAAGCTAAATGCCTAAACAGTACATACACAGAGTAATGATAAGCAGGGTGTGGCTATAGCCCATCAGAAGTGGAACCTCATCTCATTATGATAGGCCTACTCTGAGTGGACAGGTTAACACAACCTGCGTATTATTATGCTGAGACACTATCAGCCTACAAATGTGGGATCTTGAAACATTCTTTCACATCAACTCCTGCATGTTCCGACAGGCACTAGGAGATTCCTCTCAGGGGCAGAGATAAACTCCCACTGAGAATGAAGAATTACAGTTTAATGAATTTAATTCTGCTAGTTTTCAATACAACGCTACTGTACAAATCTTAAGTAATAGTTTTGAAAAAAAAGTCAACATATACTATAATATAACAATCTGCTCATCATCAACGCATCTGGAAATACACTGACATGACTCACCTTTCTCTCTGCCTGCGATGATGGGCCTCTTTTTTTCCATATCGCTCATAGTCATGAATACTTCTGGAAACCGTGGCAGATCTGTTTGTGTAGAATTAACTAGACAGATGTTTCACACCAGGTTAAACTAAACAAAACCCCAAGCCATGTCTACTAGTAAATTTTTAGTGAACAGTATGACGCTATGTAATCCCTCAACTTTGCTATAAGGTCTAGACTACACAAAAATGGAGCTTCTGAGATGATCCTTATCTTCTCACCAGCAGAAATAATAAAGGCACTCTCTCCGGAGACTGTCCAGATGGCTCCAGCTTGCCAAGTCAAACCTTGTGGAGAAATATTGTGGAGAAATATTCCTTTTAGATTCAACAGGAATTCCTTCACCTAGTTTATAGAAACTAAAAAAGGACTTAGGTGTTGGATACGAAGTGCGCTCCTCTGTGGTCACCTCAGACTGAGCCAGACTGGCCCATAAAATATACATACAGGTATTTCAGAAGCACGAAAGGAGTGTTTAGCAAAAGTGTCATCACCTGAATCCTGGCTAGTGTAATGCTATCTCTCTAGTGCTCCTCAGATCACCCTTTTCCCTTTCATTCCTTCAACCATGTTCATCAGAGCAGGCTGGACTATCAGCTTCAGTAGAGCATGAGGTTGCCTGAGAGACCTGCAGACAGGGGGGCCCCCTGCACAGCTGCTGAAAAAATCTTTGGATGAATTTCTTAGGTATTTTGCATCAGTGCACACAAATAACATATACTGTAGTATACAAATTATACTACCTCGGCTTCATTCCAGTGTTACGAAAATGGTAACTATACCAATACCATGCTGGCTAAACTGTAGTGCCTAATGTGCAGAGTCACTATGTCATACAGGTGCATGCACTGCAGACACTGACATAAGCTGAAACATGACCCCTGCCCTGAGCTTCCAGCTGAAGCATTTCTATACTTTCACGAGGTCTGTTGTTTTAGACGTGGATCATGCTGCATCAAGTGCAGCAATTTCGTATTATAATCAGTAATCATTTTTTAAAAAAGTATGCACTCACCTTTTGGAAGTGAAATATTGGTTTTATTGAAATATATCACATTCTGGTATATTTCTATAGTCCAATAGTTGAAGCTACATTTGTGTATTCAAATTTACAGTACTGTGCAAAAATCAGATATCCTTTTTCATTTAATTTCCAGTCAAAACATCCATAAAGCACAAGTTATTCATTTTTCAAGGGACATTTCTGAGAAGATTAGATATTAAATATTCCGCCACCATAAGGCAGGGGAAAGTCAAAGGAGAATAATTTATAGAATACTATTTTAAAAACATTTAAAAGATTGAAAAACTGTCTTAAGTCTCCTGAAAATAAGGAAGCTGTAATAAATGCAAAAGATGGACACACAAATTACTAAAAAAACTGGGCTTCTCTGTAATTTTCTGTTAAATATGTTTTCTGCTTTTTGACAGGAATTAAATAAAAGAAGAGTGGTCTTTGACTTTTGCACAATGCTTTATTTTAAAAATAAATCTGAATCATGCCATAATGATCTAAAACACCCAGAATCACATCCTAAAAAACTGTAATATAAATTGAATTGAGGACAGATTTACATGATCGTTTTTCTAAGATGGCACAGTACTAGTTTTTCTTTTATAATACCGATACAGATATCAAAGTACTGGCTAATTCTAATGCAATATCTTTTCTTTAAAGTGACTATGCTTTAAAATGAGCTTTTTTATTAAACCACTTCACTTCAGATGAATGTCAAAAAGTACTAAAAGTAAACTAAAAGTAGGTGATGATGCTCAAACTACTTAAACATTCTATTACCCCACAAAAGAAAGACACAGCTAACATCACATCGCACAATGTGACAGTGTACTATTTCAGTCTACATTCGTTATAGATTTACAGATGGATTTATTCTTTTCCCTCTGATGTCCACTCCAGCATTTTCTGACGATATTGGTTCTTATACTTTTATCCTCCCCCCACTTCACATTGTGCCCCCCAAGAAACTCCATGGACGGCTCTGGTGTCATGGACCTTTCAAACTTTTCTTCAAGCTCTGAACAAGTTACATAACAGAAAACTGAGGCTAGGAACTTCACCTGAGGCTCCGACTGCATCTTAAAGCCCCCACCTCTTTTGAAACAGGTTGGTTCACCTGCTCCTCCCTTCACCACACTCATCCTCACATTTTCCAAACTCACTGAACTTTGGAGAAAAACAGGAAAAACATCAAAGTTCGTATACAATGTTTATTTCCTTGTTCTTATTCTTCCAAAAAACAGAATGTACCTGACGAGACTGGGGTTACATTCAATTCAAATTTAGTCAATTTACATCAATTCTTGAAACTTCATCGTTGACTTTCGGCCAGTAGTCCTTTGTACTGAACTTAAAACAGCTTATGCACTGCACAGTCTAATCTGTCTGCATGACAACGTAGGGACTGCAACCAACAGACCGACTGATTTAGACAGTGTAGGAACGTGTATCGGTTGCCAGGGTGAGCTTTAAACTGAGCTTATTCTGTGGTTAGTCATTACAGCTGCTCTCTCCGTGCTATCCAAGAAGCGAATCCTTTCTCCGGTAGTTGTGAAGAGGAAGAGTCCATTACGTAATGATAGTAGTCAAGCACCTCAACGTTTTAATGCAAGGCCTGCATTGGCAGTGAGCTGTCAATCTTTTGTGTTCAGGCAGAGTAAAGAGTAGAGTGGAGGACAGCAGGGAAAGAGAGGTGGTGTAGAGAAAAAGGAGAGGATAAGAAACAACAAGAGGAAAAAAGGCACTAGCTATAAATAAATACCACAGATAGAAAACAAAACAATAAAATAGCATTTTGTTTTTTAACAAATATACTTACAAACATAAATACTGGACTATTCAAATGAGATTACAACACGATTACAAGTAGACAACTTAATATCAGTAAATACTGTATAAAGAGCTATGGCAACTACTTCTGAGAAAGAGAGATGGCCATTATGACGTAGAAAGAGGACAGAGACAGTAGCTCTCTTTCAAACACACACACTATCACACAGACACATACACACATACATACAACATAGTACCGCCATCTTGTTGCAACAGATTTGGGTAACCCTTGTGTTCTCAAGCTCTCCTTTCACACAAACATATTCACAGAGAATGTACAATGTGCGTTCATCTTCGCTGCCGCCCGGATAAGCTCTCTATTTGAAAGACAGAGAAAGGGAGGAGAATTAGTGATGAGTGAGAGCACTGCTCAAGGCACATATTCTAGATAACGTACTGTTGCACAAGCACAATAATAAATGAAAAGTAACAGCATATTTTTAGTAGATTTTTACAGCCAGGACACTTGTCAACTTTACTGATTCTCAGTTTTTTTTTTTCATTATAACCTGATGCAAGCAGCTAGCCAGCTAACCAGGGCCCAGTTTCCCAAAAGCTTAACTAGTAGAGAGTATTCTGTGTGATTCTCGCTTTACCATTTATTAATCATCTTTGTGCCAAGATGCTTTTAGGACACCCAGCTCTGATCAACAGAGGAAAACCTCATTGTCACTCAGGGTCAGAAAGTACAGTAGTTGGTCATATGCATTCAAATACTGTTCGATGCAGATATTCGTATATCAAAATAATAATAATAATCCATAGTAGAGATAGCGGGGCCTCAGTAGCTGCAGCTTACCATCGTTCAGGTGAATCCTTTGTATCCACTGTCGGTGGGTGTCTGTCCAGGGGCCTGAGCATTTCAGCAGCTTCCGCTTCCTCTCCAGTCTGCCCCAACTGCTCCTCTTTCTCCAGAGGGAAGGGCTCCACATCAGGGTCATACTCATAGGAATAGTAGGACACTTCCCCCATGGAGTCCTGCTCATCTTCTAACACATGACAGCAACGGTCAGGGCACTGTACACATACACCGATCAGGCACAACATTGTGACCACCTCCTTGTTTCTATGCTCATTGTCCATTTTATCAGCACCACTTACTGTATAGGTGCACCTTGTAGTTCTACAATTACAGACTGTAGTCCATCTGTTTCTTTGCATACTTTGTTAGCCCCCTTTTACCCTGTTCTTCAGTGGTCAGGACCACCATGGACCCTCACAGAGCAGGTACAATTTGGGTGGTGGATCATTCTCAGTACTGCAGTAACACTGATGTGGTGGTGGTGTGTTAGTGTGTGTTGCGCTGGTCTGAGTGGATCAGACACAGCAGTGCTGCTGGAAGTTTTAAACACCTCAGTGTCACTGCTGGACTGAGAATAGTCCACTAACCAAAAATATCCAGCCAACAGCGTCCTGAGGGCAGCGTCCTGTGACCACTGATGAAGGACTAAAGGATGACCAACACAAACTGTGTAGCAGCAGATGAGCTGTCGTCTCTGACTTTACATCTACAAGGTGGACTGACAAGGTAGGAGTGTCTAATAGAGTGGACAGTGAGTGGACACAGTGTTTAAAAACTCCAGCAGCACTGCTGTGTCTGATCCATTCGTACCAGCACAACACACACTAACACACCACCACCACATCAGTGTTACTGCAGTGCTGAGAATGATCCACCACCCAAATAGTACCTGCTCTGTGAGGGTCCATGGTGGTCCTGACCACTGAAGAACAAGGTAAAAGGGGGCTAACAAAGTATGCAAAGAAACAGATGGACTACAGTCTGTAATTGTAGAACTACAAAGTGCACCTATATCGTAAGTGGAGCTGATAAAATGGACAATGAGCACAGAAACAAGGAGGTGGTCATAATGTTATGACTGATCAGTGTATGCCACATTGTCACCTTCCACATCAGTCGGGGACAAACCTTTGGTGCTGGATCGCAGCGAAATCCATTGCTAACAAGAGTATGCCCCATCTAAAACCCACCCCCAAATTTCACTAGTCTGGGCTTTTTTCAGTGTCCAGAGTACAATCGTTTAGCACGAATGCAAATCCCATAGCTGGCCTTTTCCTGAACATAGCTGCCAATTCTCATTTACTCAATTCACATTTACTCTAGCTGTGTTGTTGCAACTGCGAAAGGCAGAGGCCTCATACAGCAGATGGTAATATTTTATCAACATTTACCACTATCTTCTAAAGCTGATCCTGCTTCTGCTGTTTTTATCTCTTTTTGTCCATTTTATAGATAACAGTATTTCACTCACAACATGAGTAGGTTTATTCAAGGTCCCTAAAAAACAAATCAAGCTGATTTCGAGGATGTGTGTGATGTTAATTGGTGGGTATAAGCTTTCGTTTTATGTTAGCTACATTAGACAGAAGCAAATATCAGAGACCAAATGTGTTGTGGCTAATTGACTGCATTTAGGATATGGAGGAAATCGAAAAATCTAAATTTGATTTTGTGTACTCAACTATTCCAAACAAGTCACCAGAGGACTGTCTTAGATGAGGCCTGCAGGGGGAGCTCCTAGCTAACAAACAGTAATTCCACAGTCTGTCTAATCTAAAAATCACTTAACATATAACTTAATATGTGCAAGTTCCACAGTCTATATAATCTAAAAATTACTTTCACCATCTTATCATTTCACTCAAAAATAAAACCAAAAACATAATGGTAAGTTCATCATTGTTTACTTAATTTCTTAATATATTCTTGCTTATTGCCCATAAACATTGATAATTTGTTTGTGTGTGAGTTACAAATAATCTACCTTTTTCCTAGTTTTGCACACCACAGAGTGTGTGTTGTCGACAAGCTGGTCATGTGTATTCGACAGGTCATCGCTACAGTGGAGGAAGAATACTTCTGCAGCTGCAGAGTTTGTGATCGGGGGTGCATTTGGACTGTGCAGGGTTTAGCTTAAGGCTGCAGCAAGACACAGCCAAGCAGCAAGTCTGCACAAGCCAGGCCACCTCAATACACACACATTCATCATGTAATGATCCCTTAGCACACTAAAGATTAAGCTCAAGAAACACATCAATGCATACAATTGCCAGGTGGGTAGTTAGCTCTGAGTGAAGATTATAATTCAGAGGCTTAGATTTGTGCCTCGTAGGAGCTAAACTAGAGCACACAGAGTTAAGCTCAAAGCTGATGAACACTGAGAGCCAACTCAACAAGCACATCATTTAACTTGCTCCGACACAACACAGGGCAAGTCCACTCAGTCTTGCTGGAGCCTTTCTAATCAGTGTTCCAGTGGCTCTACACACACACACACACACACACACACACACACACACTATAGATATTTTGGTAACACTTTAATGAAGGACAGCGTTCATAAGGCTATGAGACACCTACGTAAGTCTTTCAGAACAACTGACATAAACCTACACACATTTATAAAGGCCTATTCTAACAAGCCTCAGTTGTCATAATAGGCTACTTTTTGAAGTGGAATGATGTCAAAATTGACAAAAACAGCCTTTATGAGAACTGACGCTTTTTGGAATAAGCCTTTATAAATATGTTTATTTATACAGAAGGTGTACATCAATTGTCTTGAAAGGCTTAAGGTGTCCTGCACGAATGCTTATGGATGCTGCCCATCTGTGAAGTGTTACCAATATTTTATTTACTACTGCCTCATTAAGTATTTGATTTTTGCTTTTTTGGCACATCATAGCTTTTGTCACACAAGTAACTCCACTATTCAAACCTCATGTTCCATCAATTTGAAAGTTAAACACACTCCACAGGAATATGGGTGCCAGGCTCCCACAGAAAACCAGATCCCAATGTCTTTAATCAAAGTGGACCCAGAATCTCATGCTGCCTGGTGTTACTTGTATGTTTTGCAGGTGAGAGAAGGTTGTTTGCTGCTACAGAGAGAGACGGAGTTGAGAGCAGAGCAGCCAATACCTTTATTTAACCCCGACTGCCTCGCAAGACACAACATGCACAAGCTTCCCTTCAATCTGCACTTCAACAGGATAAGCTCTCCAGCACCTGTCTGTGACTGACACACACACTCCTGCAGGGCGAGTGCAGCTGGTGTGCAGACAGAGGGATGGGGGTGGAGGGTGTGTGTGTGAGTGAGAGAGAGAAAAAATAGACAGAGAGACAGCCATTGAGAGAGATATAGAAAGGAGAGAGGAAGAGAGAGAGAGGGACAGAAAGATGGAGAGAGAGAGAGGGAGGTAGAGAGAGAGGTATTACCTGTAGGAATAAGTATGGGGATCTGCTCTGGCTCCTCGCCTGTAGCTGGCTCTCGCTCTTCAACCATCACCTCCACTGCAGACACACACAAACACACACACACATATACACATACAAACACAAGTTAAGAACAATTTTAAGCAAAAACCAGGAAACCATCCTCTAAACTAGTGTTTCACAATGTATCAGAGGTTGGTCAAACTTGGCCTGTTAGGACGTTTGATCTGGCCTGAGAGAGCGTTATACTTTTTTCATAATGAAATCATTTACAATGTAAACAGAAGTCATTCACAGTGGTTTTGTATGAAATCAGCTGTTATATATGCTCATGCAAATGTGAGTTGCCTGCAATGACAGTTAGACGAAGCAATTCCAAAAAATCAAAGTACACACAATTTACACAATTTCTCCACTGGTTAAATTATAATAATTTACATATTTACATTTTTTACAATCTTAATGTAGTTTTTCCAGCTGTCATTTCTGTTATTTTATATATCTGTGTTTTATCTATCTAGAGTTCTCTACTGTATATTTGAGGGTTTTTTCAATCTGTTCTGTGTATGTTAAGCCTTTGATAATTAATGATTAAATAGCTATTATGGTTATAGCCTACTCACTTGAAGCACAAGTTAGTTGAAGACCTGCTTCTGTAATAATTTGCATGCTTTAGTTAGTTTAATGATTTAGTGTCATGTAGTTTCAGATATGAAAGCCTCACCATGTAAGGCCAGCACTACAGAGTCAGAATTGTTTGCACTAGAGGTGATAGGAACCAGACGTCTTAAGTGTTTAATACCTCTAAAAGCTACCTATCCAATTTGAAACCGACATACCAGGGTGGACCTGTAAAGATACTGGCCTTAGCCTAGTTTATTGTAGAACTGTTTTGGGATATTTTCCCTCATATTTTTCTTTAAATCAACCTGTAAAATGTGCAAGTTCAATTTTTTAAATTTAATGCAAGTATTAACATCAACAAGATGTGAGATACAGCATCGTTGACTGGCATGTCTTATAAACAAAATCATAAAAAAAAACAAAATGAAAGAAGAGCAAAACCAGAAAAAACTGAAAATGAAAATACTTGTAACAGAAAAAGACGTGTCAAAAACAGATGCTTTTCCAATAGTTCCATTATTAAAGTCTTCTGCACACTTTCTCTGTCCACATCAACCCTCTCTTTTACACGTCTCTTCTCTAATGTTCTACTCTATCTATCTGTAGCACTCTATTAGGAACACCTCCTTGAGTCTACACCCTCTATTTTATCAGCTTCACTTACCATATAGGTGCACTTTGTAGTTCTACAGTCACAGACTGTAGTCCATCTGTTTCTCTGCATAATTTGTTAGCCCCCTCTTAACTCTGTTCCTCAATGGTCAGGACCCCCACAGGATCACCACAGAGCAGTTATGATATGGGTGGTGGATGATTCTCAGCACTGCAATGACGCTGACATGGTATTGGGGAATTAGTGTGTGTTGCGCTGGTTTGAGTCAGACACAGCAGTGCTGCTGGAGTTTTTAAAAACTGTGTCCACTCACTGTCCATAGCGAGTGGTACAAAGTGCATCTATATGGTAAGTTGCTGCACAGTTTGTGTTGGTCATTCTCTAGTCCTTCATCAGTGGTCACAGGACACTGCCCACAGGATGCTCTTGGCTGGATATTTTTGGTCTGTGAACTACTTCAGTCCGTAAGTGACACTGAGGTGTTTAAAACCTCCAGCAGCATTGCTGTGTCTGATCCACTCATACCAGTGCAACACACATTAACCCCACCACCACGTCAGTGTCACTGCAGTGCTGAGAATGATCCACCACCCAAAAAATACCTGCCCTCTGGTGGTCCTGTGGGGACCCTGATCATTGAAGAACAGGGTGAAAGGGGGCTAACAAAGTGTGCAGAGAAACACATGGACTACAGTCTGTAACTGTAGAACTACAAAGTGCACCTATATGAAGTGAAGCTGATAAAATGGACAGTGAGTGTAGAAAAAAGGAAGTGTTCCTAACTAAGTGTTTGGTGAGTGTATTTTAAAATGATAAATAGTCATTCAGTAAAAGTCTTCTTGCTTAAAACAGAACAAAAAACAATATCTGAAATATGCTTGAACACAGCATTTCATCTTGGTAATTGTATGAGAGTTCAGATAACGTAGGTAAAGTCTTTTTTACATAAACTTTATGCACTCAGACATTTTCTCCCTTGTATTCTCTCTCTCTTTCTCTGCTAGGGCCCGAGGTTTGGGTAAAGTTTGCCTGCCTTGCTGATGAAGACAAAATATGCCAAAGGTCATAAATCCCTGACCTGAAAAGTTGACAATTTAGCTAATAATGCAAAAATCAATTCTGGACAGGTTCGCATCTTCACGATTAACAGGCAAAGAAGCCACCTGACACCTAATCTTAGAACATGCTAGATGAGGCCATGTGTAAATTAGTTACGTACTTGATTGCAAAAGATTTGTATTAATAAAAAGGCAGAAAACATGAAAAAGAGATGTTAAATATAGAGTAATAAGTGGAATATTCTTTGAGCACTGTGAGACTACACACAGTATCAAACTCATAATTCTGGTATCATGACAACCCTACCCAAAACACACCTGCAAATTGGTCTGTTTCCCTGAATATTAATAGTGTTATGGAGTTACACAGGTCAGGTTATGGAAAGAATTACAAAGGCTAAAAAATGCTCAGAGAGGATTTCACCATTCTGTAGTTTCAGCCTTAGGTGTAATCTGGCTTCCATAACCAACGCCCAGGGGGATACTTCTGTGCCTCTCTTGACACTTCAAACCTCACTTCTGGAACACGATCAGTCCCTGATTTTTGAGCCTGTGTTTACGCAAAACTGGAGCGGGGCACCAAACATATCCAAACAAACACAAGCGGAACTCTTAGCCTGCCGCCGCGGCCCCTTTCAAGCCGGTCAACAGGAAGGAGTGCTTGGCAAGGCCTGCGAGATTTCCCGCGCGGCCTTTTTCTTCTGCCCCCCTATTCCCCCTCCCCACGGCGCTCCGTAAAACAAGAAAGCGCCTTTGTTGTTAGTCTGTGCGTCGGAAAGGAATGTGACACGGATTTTCCTTTTTTCCCCCTTTCTTTTTTTTTTCAAAGGGCCTTGGACAGAAGTGCCATGTCATTTGGGGTGCCCTGTAATACAGCATAGGCTGGGAAGTGTGTGCATGTATCTCTGTGTTTCATGTAACTACCAGTCTGCACCTGAACAGCTGTTTCGACCAACCAGGCACACACACACCTCACACTTTCAGGGACGAGCTGGAATTAATCTCTAAAGCTGAGCTTGTCTGGACAAGGAAAGGCTGTAATTGCAAGCAGGGAGCTCTCTGTGTCCCCCCTGATGTGTTTTCAGGTGTAAGAGAAAAACTGTCCAGATTCATTAGTACAAAAACAGTCTGAATAACGCTGTAAGTCTAAACCACTCCACTCTGCTGTGATCCACTTTAGTTTAGATGTTCTTTCAGCCCTGAACTGAACAGCTGCTGTTTGTGTTTTGTCTTTTACAGAAAACTTCACTATAAGCAGGGCCACTCTGAGTGCACTGGCTAAGGCCTCTGGGGTTTATGGTGTAGAAGCACATTCACTCTGAATATACTGGCTGAGACCTGTAATTACTGTTTAGCTGCAATGGTCACTACTGTATTCAAACGCATTTATTCTGAAGACAGCGGCTGAGCAGTCTAGACAGTGCAATGGTTTCCAACCCTGGTCCAGAAGTAAACATATTCTGTGTATTTTGGTATTTTTTCTAGGGCCGTCATGGTTGTTATATTATAATTAATCACTTGATAAAGCAACTTAGTGATTAGTTAGCAAATTGAATGAGAAACAAACACAGTGTTTTCTTTTGTGTCTTTAAAAAAAAGGTTTGCAACATAGTAGCTCAGGAGTTCTTGGGTTAAATGTGGAAACTTTGGGCTACCGAGTGGCACAACCGTCTAAGTGTTGGCCCTATCATCAGGAGATCGCGAGTTTGATCCCTGGTGATGCTACATCCAACCGTAGCCAGGAGTCCAAGAGAGCACAATTGGCCTCGCTCTCTCTGGGTGGGTAGGATGGCCCCCCTTCTCCCCCCATCAACCAACGCAATGCTAGTCAGCGCAGGCGTCTGTTAGCTGACGTAACAGATCTGGCGGTTGGCGCTTTCCTCCTAGCACGTTCAGCTGTCCAATGACGCTGCGTGAACAGCAGTTCGAAAAGATGCAGTGGCTGGCTTCACAGGTCTCGGAGGAAGCCTGTGCTAGCCTTCACCCTCCTAGCGTTGATAGTATCGTGTGACTGGGGGAGTCCTAACTAGCGGGTGGAATTAGAGACGATTAAATTGGGGAGAAAATCAGGGAAAAATCCAAAAAAAAAAAAATTGTGGAAACTTTGACGTGGTGATTTTTATAGTAGGAGCCAATCACGTTAATCGCTGGGCAATAATGATACTGAACATGAATTGTTGTAGTTTGTTTCACATCCCTATTCTTTATTTCTAGGTAATCTTATTTTTATTATGTATTTTTAACATTATAATTACAAAGCCTACTGCAATTTCAATGCTCATTTTCTCTTAAGTCCTGGGCTTCTGTGTCAAAAATCCCAAAGAGTGTTCTATAACTCTGTTGGGGTCTTTGAAAAGAAAAAAGAAAGAAATTAAAAAGATTACTTGGATAATCATCGAAATAATCACCAGATTACTTGATTACTTGATACTTGATCCTAAATTTCTCTGCTGTAACAGACCTGATCCAACTGATTAACTAAATATCAAGTACTTCCAGAGTTGAATTGCTAGAGCAGGGAAAATACTAAACTGCGCAGGGCAATGTGTGCAGGAGCAGGGCTGGTTTAGTGTATAGGGCAGATTTGCCCAATGTGAGTCCAGCAGGGTCAAAGTTCAGCACCAACTGTTGATTTCTCTGCTCAGACAGACTTGATTCAACTAATCAGCACTATGTAAGATTTTGGAACTTAGAGACCTCTCTGGTAGAAATATGTTCAGGGTATTTGCACATTTTTAAGTACAAATTTAATGACTTTTAAGACCTTTTAATACCTCTAAAAG